GGGACGCGATGCAAGTGACAGGTGGCGATGCAAGTCAGGGCACGCAATGCAAGTGACAGGTGGCGATGCAAGTCAGGGGACGCAATGCAAGTGACAGGTGGCGATGCAAGGGCCAGGTGGCGATGCAAGTGACAGGTGGCAATGCAATTGACAGGTAGGAATGCAAGTGACAGGTAGGAATGCAAGTGACAGGTGGCGATGCAAGTGATAGTTGGCAATGCAAATGATAGTTGGCAATGCAAATGATAGGTGGCAATGCAAGTGACAGGAGGCGATGCAAGTGACAGGTGATGATGCAAGTCAAGGGAGGCAATGCAATTGACAGGTGGCAATGCAAGTGACAGGTGGCGATGCAAGTCAGAGGAGGCATAGCAATTGACAGGTGGCAATGCAAGTGACAGGTGGCAATGCAAGTGACAGGTGGCGATGCAAGTCAGGGGAGGCATAGCAATTGACAGGTGGTGATGCAAGTGACAGGTGGCGATGCAAGTCAGGAGAGGCATAGCAATTGACAGGTGGCGATGCAAGTGACAGGTGGCGATGCAAGTCAGGAGAGGCATAGCAATTGACAGGTGGCAATGCAAGTGACAGGTGGCGATGCAAGTCAGGAGTGGCGATGCAAGTGACAGGAGGTGATGCAAGTGACAGTTGGCAATGCAAATGATAGGTGGCAATGCAAGTGACAGGTGGCAATGCAAGTCAGGGGAGGCAATGCAATTGACAGGTGGCCATGCAAGTGACAGGAGGCGATGCAAGTGACAGGTGGTGGTGCAAGTGACAGATGTTGATGCAAGTGACAGGTGGTGGTGCAAGTGACAGATGTTGATGCAAGTGACAGGTGGCGGTGCAAGTGACAGATGTTGATGCAAGTGACAGGAGGCGATGCAAGTGACAGGTGGCAATGCAAGTCAGGAGTGGCAATGCAAGTGACAGGTGGCGATGCAAATCAGGGCTGGCAATGCAAGTGACAGGTGAAAGTGCAAGTCAGGAGTGGCAATGCAAGTGACAGGTGGCAATGCAAGTGACAGGTAGCAATGCAAGTGACAGGTGAAAATGCAAGTCAGGGGAGGCAATGCAAGTGACAGGTGGCAATGCAAGTGACAGGTGGCAATGCAAGTCAGGGGAGGCAGTGCAATTGACAGTTGGCAATGCAAGTGACAGGTGAAAATGCAAGTCAGGGGAGGCGATGCAAGTGACAGGTGGCAATGCAAGTGACAGGTCACAATGCAATTGACAGGTAGCAATGCAAGTGACAGGTCGCAATGCAATTGACAGGTAGCAATGCAAGTGACAGGTCGCAATGCAATTCACAGGTAGCAATGCAAGTGACAGGTGAAAATGCAAGTCAGGGGAGGCAATGCAAGTGACAGGAGGCAATGCAAGTCAGGGGAGGCAATGCAAGTGACAGGTGAAAATGCAAGTCAGGGGAGGCAATGCAAGTGACAGGTGCCTATGCAAGTCAGGAGTGGCGATGCAAGTGACAGGAGGCGATGCAAGTCAGGAGTCACAATGCAAGTGACAGGAGGCGATGCAAGTCAGGAGTCACAATGCAAGTGACAGGAGGCGACGCAAGTCGGAGGCGGTGTGAGAGTGGGGTGTGGGGTGCAGGTTTGCGGGCTCTCCGGGTGTGTGCGCGTTGGTGGCTTGCCAGGGACTCGACGCCCCAATTGCTGCGGGGTTTCCTACTGAGCGGCGGCAGCACGCAGGGAATGAATGAATGGATGAATGAATGAATGAATGGATGAATGAATGAATGAATGGATGGATGGATGACACCCGCCCTCCTCAACTTGGTGGCAGAAGCCACAGGCCCCTTTCCAGAGGCTTCCAGGCCAGGGCATGCTGGCTCGCTCACGCCTGTCATCCCAGCACTCTGGGAGGCCGAGGCGGGAGGCTCGCTCGAGGTCAGGAGGTCGAGGCCAGCCTGAGCAAGAGCGAGAGACCCCCTCTATATTAAAAAAAAAAAAAAATAGAAAGAAGTTAATTGGCCAAATAAAAATATATAGAAAAAATGAGCCGGGCGCGGAGGCTCACGCCTGTCATCCCAACACTCGGGGAGGCTGAGGCGGGAAAAAAAAAAAAAAAAGAAAAAACATAAATGAGCTGGACGACGAGAAATATATAGAATGTTTCTGTTCTAGAAGCGTCGGCGTGGAAATCCTGGGAACGTTCTGAGCTGCAGGCTGCACTGGCCGAGGCTCAGCCGGGGCCGGAGGCCGGAAGCAAGTGACCAAGGCCGCCCTGGCTGAGGAAGTGGCGAAAGGGAAAAAGAGGCCCGGTAGCCAGAGGTGGGGCTGGCCACGTCAGGGGGAAGATTCCAGAAGGGCAGAGAACGCAGCCCGTCTCCCGCCAGGGGCTGAAGAGCCCTGGCTCTTGGCACGGTACAGCCCCACAGACGGAGGAATGTCGTGGCTGAGTTGTGAGACACAGTCTCGCCTCGCTCAGCCTCCAGCTCCTGGCCTCCAGCGATCCTCCTGCCTCGGCCTCCCTCCCGAGTAGCTGGGACTACAGGCGTGCGCCGCCACGCCCAGTGGTGCTCATTTTTCTATATATTTTTTAAGTTGTCCAGCTCATTTGTTTCTATTTTTTTCTAGTAGAGTTGAGGTCTTGCTCTTGCTCAGGCTGGTGTCGAACTCCTGGCCTCGAGCGAGCCTCCCGCCTCGGCCTCCCTCCCGAGTAGCTGGGACGACAGGCGTGCGCCTCCACGCCCGGCTCAATTTTTATATATATATGTATTTTTGGTTGTCCAGCTAATTTCTTTCTGTTTTTTTTAGTAGAGACGGGAGATCTCGGTCTTGCTCAGGCTGGACTCGAACTCTTGACCTCGAGCGATCCTCCCTCCTCAGCCTCCCTCCCGAGTAGCTGGGACCACAGGCATGCACCTCCGCGCCCGGCTCGTTTTTGTAGATATTTTATTTGGCCTATCAATTTGTTTGTATTTTTTTCTAGTAGAGTCGGGGTCTCGCTCTTGCTCAGGCTGGCCTCCAACTCCTGACCTCGAGCGATCCTCCCGCCTCGGCCTCCTCCCGAGTAGCTGGGACTCCAGGCATGCGCCACCACGCTTGGCTAAATTTGTTCTATATATTTTTAATCAGGCAATTAATTTTCTATTTTTGGTAGAGCCGGGGTCTCGCTCTTGCTCAGGCTGGTTTCGAACTCCTGACCTCGAGCGATCCTCCTTCCTCAGCCTCCCAGAGTGCTGGGATGACAGGCGTGAGCCTCCGCGCCCGGCTAATTCTTTTCTATTTTTAGTTGTTTGGTTAATTTCTTTCTATTTCTAGTAGAGACGGGGGTCTCGCTCTTGCTCAGGCTGGCCTCGACCTCCTGAGCTTGAGCGATCCTCCCTCCTCGGCCTCCCTCCCGAGTAGCTGGGACTCCAGGCATGCGCCACCACGCCCGGCTCATTTTTTTCTATATATTTTTAGTCATCCAGCTCATTTCTTTCTATTTTTTTAGTAGAGACGAGGTCTCGCTCTTGCTCAGGCTGGCCTCCAACTCCTGGCCTCGAGCGAGCCTCCCTCCTCGGCCTCCCAGAGCGCTAGCAGATAGGCGTGAGCCCCCGCGCCCGGCCCGATGCCCGTAACTCCCCAGAGACTGCTTCTTGGTCGCCGTGGTTTTTCCCCCCCTGCCTGGCTTGGGCGTGGCCGGCGTCCCCCGTGGCCCGTGACGTCCGTCCGCCCCGCCGTGATGGGGTGCCGTGCCTCTGTTTCCCCCCAGGCTGCGAGAAGTCGTTCATCACGGTCAGCGCCCTGTTCTCCCACAACCGCGCCCACTTCCGGGAGCAGGAGCTGTTCTCCTGCTCCTTCCCCGGCTGCAGCAAGCAGTACGACAAGGCCTGCCGTGAGTTTTTTTTTTTTTTTTTTTGAGACCGAGTCTTGCTCTGTCGCCGGGCTGGAGTGATGCTGTGGCGTCAGCCTCGTAACAGCAGCCTCCGACTCCTGGCCTGCCAGCGATCCTCCCGCCTCAGCCTCCCTCCCGAGTAGCTGGGGCGACAGCATGCACCTCCACGCCCGGCTCAATTTTTTAAATAGTATATATTAGTTGGCCAATTAATTTCTTTCTATTTTTTAGTAGAGACGGGGTCTCGCTCTTGCTCAGGCTCGTTTTAAACTCCTGATCTTGAGCGACCTCCCCCTCGGCGCCCCAGAGTGCTGGGGTGACAGGCGTGAGCACACCGCGCCCGGAATTTTTTTCTATTTTTAGTTGTTTTGCTCATTCTTTTCATATTTTAGGTAGAGACGTAG